CGCCCTGGTGATATACGATCAGGAAACGGTTGTAAAACTCACTTGAGTTTGAACTGGTGGCTCGTTATCTACATAGACAGGAGCCTAGTCTGCAGCGCTCAACTCAACAGCCAATTTATCATTATTTTTGAACTTTCATTATATGCTTGACATTTGAATGACATTTACTTGTATATGTGTCACTTGCTCTAGTTTCAGTTCTCAGTTATGTGTTTATTGTACTTTATGCACCTGAAGATGAGCTCCATTACTGCTGACAAGTGGCTTATTATTATTGTTATGTTCATTATTTGTGTTGATGATTGTTGTAGCTGTGATTAAATAGATGATTATGTTTATATGATTATGATAAAATGATGATGATGATGATGATGATACAATCTATAATATACGTATATAAGCTTAAAAGTCTACATCGACAGACTCTCATACAGTTCGAGCAATGTGCATGAAATGATATTTCAATTATTTGTGAGAGAAAGTAAACGATGGTACATATGTATTTTGATGTACACATATACAGAAGAACCGAACATTGACCAGTGGTGCATTGACCTGACCGTTTTATGTGGCCCAGTGTGCATCGGCTTTCGCTACCATAGTCTCACCCATCCCTGGGGCTACAGCTGACAGGCGTCCGTTGATTGTGCTTGTCTTGTCAGACATTGATGGCAATATCCCTGGCTTACCACAAGGCTATTGCAGTTTTTATGCATTACTTTCATTTTGGGTGTCACGATTCATAGATATGACGAACCTACATCTGAAGATTACAGAGGAGCGCTCTTTATAGATAGACAACATGTGTATTGCAATAGATGCCTGCAAACAAATTGTCAGAGGAACATATTTTATGGACAGACAACCTTTTACATTGCAATAGCTGCCTACAAATAAGATGTTTACCCATAAAACGTGTTCCTCTTCATCATACTCACTTAATGCCACTTAAAGAAGATGTACGTTTAGCATAACAGTATAACGAAACGTATCAGTGGTTTACAAGAAGGCGAGCGTGCCACATCTTACATGTGGCTCGTATCGTAGATATGAAAAGTCAAGTTAATTGTTAAAGGTCACATGCAACGTAAAACACAACTTTGCAGATTCTGATACCTTTCGGTATGGACTTTCGGTATGTTATGACAGTAAATAAACTGTTTATATAATTTCATTTGTCTATTTCACCAAACGTTCTTCTTACCGAGTCACTTTCTCAGTTCGATACCTAAAAGCAATGTCATTATTTAGTGTTGACAGAATTTCTAACTGTGATATAGATATGTCGTTGTCACAGACAAAACTCAATTTCTTGTTTTATTGGCACCTGTGTGTCTGCCTGCCTGTCTGCTAATGACAATATTCAATACACAACTGCGATCACTGACCACATGCAATTTGAACTTAACACCAATCAGGCTATACACCATATACAAAACGCATTGATTTATGGCCCGAGTTCGGTCTCTGTCACATTATGTAATTACACAGACAGGCAGGTGTGATACTTGAACACATGACATGTTATGATGTCTGTTGATTGCAAAATGTTATACACAAAAAATGAGCATGTATTTACAAAACCCAACATCTCTATATATACACACACAATGAGCCGTGAGGGCATCTGCAAATGAACCAGCCGTTACACTTGAGTGCACACCCACCCGCTCTGACTGGGTTCGGTATCCCGTCTGCTTCGTTTCTTGGGAAGTAAACCCAAGTACACAATATTGCACTTTTGATTTGCGATTGTACGCTTATAATTTTGTTTATATATTTTTTTCATAACCAGCAATGTATATTATATGTCATGAATAAGTGATAATTGTGTTTTAATTATGTTTGAGTTTTTGGTTGCATGTGACCTTTAACCTGAGCAAACAGGGTAACCTCTCGATGAACTGAGTTTCTGACTGAGTTTAGTTTTACGCCGCTTTTAGCAATATTCCAGCAATATCACGGCGGGGGACACCAGAAATGGGCTTAACACATTGTGCCCATGTGGGGAATCGAACCCGGGTCTTCGGCGTGACGAGCCAACGCTTTAACCACTAGGCTACCCCACCGCCCCTCCTCTCGATGAAGTTAACACTGATATTTGCATCGACATCAGTTTAGATCATTTTGATCACTGACGCGGAACATCGGTAGATGTCATTATCTTCATAAAACCTTTTGAAAGGTTTCTAGGTCATTGAATGTTACATGCCTTACCAAACACCCTTTGAGCACGATTTGTGAGGAGCTCTTTGGAATCTTCGTGTTAAGTGCATGGTCGGTTGTACCTCAAAAGTTGACATCTGTGTACCAAAGGCTTGAGCTGTTGGAATGTTCCTCGACACAAAGGGAAAGGTGACTATTGGAAAACTGAAGTCATCCCTTTTGCCATACATTTTTTAAAGAAGTATTTGTGACTCTGAAGTATTATGTATGAAACATGACACTGGAAACACTGGACGCTTCTATTTTTAGCTAAGGTGGACAAATCAGTGGATGAGAATTTTACCATTTTCGAAGATATCAGATCATCGATATTTCTTAAGCTAAAGTTGAATATCTTGGTCATATTTCCAGCAAAAATCAGATTCATGTGAAAACAAGATACACATGAAGGAAGAAGGAGAACATTTAGCATGTCCAGTTTAAATGTTGACAACAAACATTAAACTGCCGGGCCAAATAATGTATACACCCATGTTTGATGAAAAGAAACAGGCAAGAAATATAACGTGCATTCTGAATTCAATGTTACACAATCTAAAGAATGTTTTGAATTCACCGTAACCTATTATGTAAAGTACATTCAGATTTCACCGTAAGATAAGGAAAAGTATGCCTTGATTATACTCTGACTAAAGTAGACTTCACTTAGCGTCAATGTCAAGTATACTCTGACTTCACTTAGAGACAATGTCAAGTGTACTCTGACTTCACATAGAGTTAATGTCAAGTATAATTTGACTTCACTTAGAGTCAATCTCAAGTATACTCTGACTTCACTTAGAGTTAATGTCAAGTATACTCTGAGTTTACTTGAAGCTTTTCTCGGTCTTCACTGTCCACTTATGCCGATTATTTAAGTAGGCTAATGTTACCATAATAATACTGAAAATTTATATAAATGTATAGCGCTAAATCCACCCACAAAGTGGGTGCTCAGAACCATACAAAGTAATGTTTGAGTAAAGTTAATAGTGCAGTGAAAAGAGATGCGTTTTAAGATGTGCTTTGAACGCAGCAAAAATATGGAGACAGCTTTAAAGCGAGGGAAAGTTCATTCGCCAGCGATGGAGCACAAACACGGAAAGAACGCTTTCCATAAGAGGCCAGTCTGTAAGAAAGAGTTTTCAATAAGCATTTGCTTTCAGATCGCAGTTGTCTGGGTGGATTTCAGGGGTAAGCAGTTCAATTAGATATTTTGGTACCATGCCGTTTAGACTCTTGTATGTGATACAGAGTACTTTAAACACTATTCTCGCCTCAACTGGAAGCTAGTGTAATGACTTCAGTATCTGCGTAATGTGAGAGTACTTTGGGGCACGTGTAACGATTCTTGCCGCTACATTTTGGACTTTTTGAAGTCTCCTCGGTGATTCTTTGCTGATGCCTAGAAGCAAACTGTTCGCATAGTCCAACCTCGAGAGTACCAAACGCTGTATCAATGTCTTGGCTGCATCAAGCGATATCAGATGACGAATTTGACTAATACCTCTGTGATGATAAAAATAGATCTTGCACAAACTGGCAACTTGAGAATTCATGGACAACTCGGAGTCAAAATAGACACCAAGATGTTTTTGCCCGGGGTGAGAGTAGTAAGGTAGTAGTAAGGTAGTCTTAGCGCTAAGGTGACCGTAACTCCCATACCTCAACATAGACTTAAGGTAGTCTTAGCGTTAAGGTGACCGTAACTCCCATACCTCAACATAGATTTAAGGTAGTCTTAGCGCTAAGGTGACCGTAACTCCCATACCTTAACATAGACCTAAGGTAGTCTTAGCGATAAGGTGACCGTAACTCCCACACCTCAACATAGATTTAAGGTAGTCTTAGCGCTAAGGTGACCGTAACTCCCACACCTTAACATAGACCTAAGGTAGTCTTAGCGCTAAGGTGACCGTAACTCCAACACCTTAACATAGACCTAAGGTAGTCTTAGCGCTAAGGTGATCGTAACTCCCACACCTTAACATAGACCTAAGGTAGTCTTAGCGCTAAGGTGACCGTAACTCCCACACCTCAACATAGATTTAAGGTAGTCTTAGCGCTAAGGTGACCGTAACTCCCACACCTTAACATAGACCTAAGGTAGTCTTAGCGCTAAGGTGACCGTAACTCCCACACCTTAACATAGACCTAAGGTAGTCTTAGCGCTAAGGTGACCGTAACTCCCACACCTTAACATAGACCTAAGGTAGTCTTAGCGCTAAGGTGACCGTAACTCCCACACCTTAACATAGACCTAAGGTAGTCTTAGCGCTAAGGTGATCGTAACTCCCACACCTTAACATAGACCTAAGGTAGTCTTAGCGCTAAGGTGACCGTAACTCCCACACCTTAACATAGACCTAAGGTAGTCTTAGCGCTAAGGTGATCGTAACTCCCACACCTTAACATAGACCTAAGGTAGTCTTAGCGCTAAGGTTGTTTTGTACAACAGCACCCAGGACTTTAGTATCATCATCATATGATTGCTGATGGAGATTATGCCGTTTTATGATTCCACCAAGTTGATTGGTATATATCACAAAGAGTAACGGACCCAGAACCGATCCCTGTGGTATTCCACATGTAATATTGGCACAGCGAGATTATTGGTTTCTTATCATAACGACTGTCAAGATAGGCTTGGATCCAGGTAAGAGGAACACCAAGAATTTTAATCTCGTCCATAACTCGTTGAAGGAGCTGTTGATGATCCACCGTGTCAAAGATTAGATACAGGTCTATCCGAAGCGGTACCGTCTGATATGTCATATTATCACATAACTCATCACTGGAAATATAATATTTTATTACATGTTTGTTATAAAAGTGTTATAGGTGTACAGTACAATGTACAGTGGACTATGTATACTCGGTCTCCATGCACACTAGCTGGTACACACTGTATTCATACACAAAAGGACTCGATAAACAGCATAACGGTAAGTGTATGACGTAAGATCTGACGTCAAATAAGCGTACACAAAACCACTAATTTCGCTGTGGGCTTCTAACAAAAGCAAGTCTTCACAAAGTTCTACATATAACGTATTAAGAATATCAAAAGAGGCGGTAAAATACATATACACTAGATCAATCACATGTAGACATCAGTTCGCAATGTGCTTCAAACTAAAAGGCATGATTACTAAACTATTTTCATAATCATCTTCATTATCTCACTGCATTTGTTGAAGGTTCTGTATTTGTTGGCGAAACGGCAAGTAATCTTGTTTCAGTTTTGATAAATATCATTTAACTTCAAACAATAACTATAACTGATTTATATTTGTGCTCATTGTTAACCTCAAAATATACTTCGTAAGTATTTTGCCAATATGTATTTACAACTATGACACATAATAAATAATAATCTCAAAATATATTTGTGGTATTTCGGATTACAGGAAAGACACGTGGCATACTAATACACAGTCAAAGGTGTATACTAATCACATTCACTAAGCAAGAGGTCACCTGTATGTTCGTTTCTATAGAAACGCTGAGATAAAATTAAATCCGGTTTTGCATTCTTTTCTAAACCACCGTGTACATAGCAGCCAGACTTTTCACCTTGAAACCCCATACCCCGGCAAATGATACACTTTATACCTCGGCTTGTTATTTCGCAAGGCTAATTACCACAACCATCATTTTTTTAATACTCTGTTACTATTTGACTTACTTCTTTCTGTAAATACCCCCGCTTAAAATCCGAAATCCCTGTGTCTACTAATTAAAAACACTTCCACGTTTAAATTTTTAACAAATGTCTCGTGATATTACCTCAAGGGGAATTAGGCTTAAGCCGCTGTGACATAAACGTTTCATAACAACCAGGCTGGTTGTACATGGAATGTGCATTAAAGAGGCTGGGAGCTTCTCCGAGATCATGGTGATAATGAAACGTATGTTCAGCTGAATATATTAACGCATACCGCAGGCGTATGTCGTGATGGCTTTGTCAGTAAGATACATGCGCGCTGTATGTGTGTGACCTGCATTCCTGACGGAGGAGGGAGCTGGCCTGCAACTTCTGATGCTGGTGATGATGTATTTAACTTGTACGAATAGGTTAACAAACAGGTAATACAAGTATGCGAGGAGTGTTTCAGACTGTGGTGGCTTTGTAGTCTATTCCAAAATAAATCAAACTCACCTCACCGAACCGAGGAACTGGTTTCCTTTGAAAGCTTGGATTAATCGTGACATTGAAAAAGCTCGCTCATTCCGTACGAGCTACCTATATTTGCACCTGTGAACACTGCGGACGTTTATGTAACGATGCATCTCGGACGAGAATTTCTTTTTAAACACAAAGATACGCTGAAGGACGAGGAACTACATGGAATATTTTCCATAAAAAAGAAACCTTGACGAGTGATACTTCATTTTGGACAAAGTCGAGGACATTTGGTCAAATGATGAATAGGGGAATTGGATGAATAAACCTCCAAATTTATCTAACTAAAACAGTTTTACCAGATTTGCGCGACCTCTAAATATTATATTATTATATACTCTTATTTGAATGCATTTCATACATCTATCATCTGAACAAACAAAAATGAATATAAACTGTAATGTTTTTACGTGACCATCCGTATGTTTTTAACTGAGTATAAAGCTCATGTTGTTGTTTATTTATCCTTCGAATGGCTTTACATGGTTGTTGTTCAAGAGTATCCGTCAACCTGTTGCGTACCTTGCGACAAGATTCAAGTAATTGGGCAACGTGGTGCAATTAGTCTGACAGGCTGTCTGGAGAAGCAAAGAATGTACAGGGTGAATTGACGGGACATTGTTGGGTTTCAAGGACTTCCATAGCGACAAACATTTACCCACAGCGTGCCCTCAAACTGGAAATCAAAACTGAAGAGGCGTTGAAGCCCTTTGCAATTTACACTATACAAGCCTTACTTTACAAAACAAAAAAAAGGAGAAATGGCGTACACGATATTGACATTGCAAGAAGAGTATACATGTAATTATTCACAAATTGTCAAATCACATAATATGGCAACCAACTAATTGAGATTATTCATTTATACAAGATTCAATTTTTAAAGGTGATATTCTATAAGAACAAGATCTGTTCGATTTTAAACTTCAGAAAGTAAACTTAGCGTAAGTTGAAATTAACCTTTGGTTTTATCAATAGTTACCATTTCAATGGTTTATCTAGCAGTCTTTACATATGTACAAGTCCCTGGGATACATTGTCTACATATTGCACTATATACAAGCAAGTAACGCTGCCATTGTATAACATAGAATATTACATCATATCTATAATATCACAGTGTATGTTTACGCATTTCTACACGAGGGCTGTCAAAAACAAACAGCAACACGTTAGAAGTAGTGTACTTTGCACCATGATGTTAGTAAGCTATTCACGCTATACTACAGCGGAAGACGCGTGTCCATATCGAGATAGAAATAACACGCAGTATTTCACAAGACACCATCGACCCTTCCGGATACCAGAGTGTCACAGCACCAGAGAACCTCATTCTGGGTATATGGTGTGTGATGACGACCACGTGTCAACTTCTGTCTGGTCAATCAGTGTCATGCTTACACCATCGATCATTGGTTTGCTTGGTCCAGGTTCGACCACATATTACAAACCGCCGTGATATAACTACAGAACTGTTCTACGGCGTTTAAACTCCATTCTTTCGCTACATCAGTTTTGTTAATAGTCCTAGCACCATCATCAGTGACATCTAGTAAAACCACTAAATATGTCGGTATTCGTCGTCTGTTTCCGTCATTGTTCGGAAGACAGCTAGGGTCAAAGACCAGAGTATACACTACGGGCTGCAAGGTATGGTTCATTTCTGTTTGCAGTTTCTTCAAAGCACTAATATCGGCGTTTCTTCCGTTACGTCAGAATGTGTATATTTACAAGGTCTGTGTGATCTTCAAGGTTGTCAATGAGTACAATATAATAGCATGCATGCAGGCAGGTGGCTATAATATCCTCATTCATCTTGCACGAAATATGAATGAGTTCGAAAAGTCCTATAAACATGCACTCAACAGGTTCACGTCCTAGTACCAAACTAGGACCAAATGCACTTCACTTGGAATCACATGCCGTCACATCTATTCTGGATTGGGTTTATGTTGATTGTTCCAAAGCATCTGACGAGTTGGTCATCAGTGCCAAGGGATGGTTACCTTGTCATTGTTTGTTCCAATGTACGCCCAATCGGAAGAGCACAAGCCGATGACACTATTCAGTCACCTCCACCTATCTCCGGATAGGATTTGTCAGATCAGGAATAAGATCCACAGTGTTGAAAGTTAATGAACACGTATTGTACGGATAAATAGACCGCATGCATAATTTGCATCATCTCATGCACACTGACATGCATATATGCATTGGAAGCTTGTATATGTTGAAATGCACTATGATGTATAATACATCGAATAGTAGGCACAGGTCAGGGGACCTTATTTCTGGAGTCTAGCAAGTGCTTCCAGAAGCCAAACAGTTATCAAGATCACCGCTGTGGTTCTCTCAGTAGAGGATGTCATGGGAACCGCTACTAGACAGACGACCTTGTCTCTGCCGCGTGGAATAATGGGATGCGTCATTGTCCCCCTGGCCTTCGGCTACACTCAAGATCTGAGAGAACAATCTCAAAGTGTCCATACTGCTGAGTTCATTGTCGTTCCTGGCCACTGATGACGTCATACTATGTGGTCCATAGGACCCCGCTTCAAGTGCTCCACGTGCACCAGCGCTCTCCATCACGTGCTCATATAGACGTCTGCGTTGTTCGTTTGCTAGAAGATCTATTTCAATCTGCCGGGTAACAATGGCGGAGCTCTTTCTCCACACGTTGAACTCGTAGTCAATTGGCACAACTCGTTCGGCGATCACCTTGATGATAACGAAAGCTTTGCCATCTTTCAAAGTCAAATTGACTTTTTCATTGACGGCGTCGAAATTGTCTGTGTTTCCAGATCGCGACTTAGATCCGTCTGCGTGGACAAAGTCAAGGTCACCGTAGATCTCTTCGTTGTGGTGTTCCACATCAATGTTCTGTCTAATGTCCTTGGAGTCAATGTTGGCGAGCTGAGACAGCAACAGCGTGGATAGGTTCTGCTTTGGCACCTCCCTGGTGGACATTTGAACTGGAAACAGAAAGAAGACAGTGTTATGGTTGATGCTGGAAGTGTATTGTACATTATAACGGCATTGGTGGATTTGGTGCACATTGTAATAACTGGACATATACTACCCATCAAAAATATAAACTCACTTAAAGGACTCACTATATGTTAAGTATACATATATGGTTACATCGAAGATGGATTTATCCACTAATTTATCCACATCTGCAAACCTTATGCAGATGAATTGCACGAGGATCATGCATCAGATTGCTGTAAAGCATATGCAAATATCGTGCACGTGAACAGCTGCGTTTTGGTGTAAAGTTTTGTTAAGAATTCGCCAATTTTCACTGAGTTTCATCCTTCATTGTATTCACGACAATAATTTTGTCAACGTTACGAATTTGCTTTACGGTACATCAGTTCATGTGTAAACAGTACCTTTATACAGTATGGAATATTTTGCAAAATAACAGTTGACTGAAGTAAGTGGCTATATTTACACTAGTGAGTCTAAACTTTTGATGGGTAGTATATAAAAGGATGGGATTCTCAGCTCATAACTCTTGAATGCGTCTTTCAAGTAAAACCACGACAAGTAGAAGGCAATAGGGCAATGGAAATGTATTTGAGAAGACGTATTTGTCACATTTCGAGAGTTTCCCTAAACGTTTACGATAAAATTCCGAGTAATTCGTGGTACGTGGACTAGTGATTAATCAACAAACATTGTTTGACAGCTGCAGTTTAATAACTTGGGGAAACACTACACATGATATGGTGTGTTGCTTCTATTCATTTTACAGAAATCAAGGTTTTGGGAGTTTTGTTTCATTAAAACACCAACTGTTTACGTGTGTGATTACTGATTTCCAGTGAGTGATATTATGAACAACGACGAAGGACGTCGGAACACGATGACACGCAATAAACCAAGTCACCGATCCTGACCAGCAGATCCATTTGTCTTTAATCACAAGCAACAAAGTGCTTATACCTATCCCAACCTGGTATCGCCATCCAGAGAAGTATTGAAGGACCTTTATTTAATGATTTAACTACATGTTTGATGTTTAAACATGACGGCAAAGAATGGGACACTTTTTAAAGATTTATCATATGACATTTTGCATATGCCCTTGAATGATGGAAATTAGAAAGAGTCCTTAACAATATTAGCATAGTGACTACTTTCACCAACACCGATACACAGCATGTATAACATCAAGAAGAATGTTGTAGTGGTCATCCTCAAAACACATAGTTTGTGTGTTAGACATTACATTCTCACAGAAGACAACATATTTACTGAACAAATGTACGATTTGTTTAGATTTGATTCTCAGCAGCCTCTGGTGGTTCATTATATGACGCATTTTGCGTTTTGTTTGACCATTCAGGCCACAAAAGGACAACATTATTAACACTTTGGTTTCACACAACCAAAACCTTATTTGTGTGTGCTGTGTAGGACACTATTTCAGAGGCTGTACTGCTGCATTGATGTAGATGTAATAACTCTGTTTGGTCGGAAAAGATCTCTGACATTTCCATCCAATCTTCTGAAGCAAAACAGGATATCCTGACCATGAGTCTAGAGGTAATTTTAAATAGACTTTCAAAAGCTTACAGATGACCTCGGCAGGCCTGATACATTTACAATTATCTTCATCCACGCCCCGTGTCAATTGCCTGTGTCAGTCTACAGCAAATGTCACAGGGTGCTGTTACAATATACATAGATCCTCGCACAGTGCATACCTCAAATTATAGCCAGTCTGTTCAGTCGCCTACGTCCTCACAATTGTTCATAACAGTAACAATGATGTTTAACACCTAGTTTCAGTAGTGGTGACCGTGGTATGTTTCATTGGGGTTGGTCACGACGAGAGAACGCAGTGGCAAGAAAGAGGACATTACGAGTGTAAGCTGAAACTGAGACTTATAGGAGGCTGCCTTCAGTATTAAACATCTTGACGGTGTTGTCACCGTCTCAAATTACCACTGACCGTCACCTTGGTACTTTCCTTGACCTTATCACTTTAAAGGTACTCAAAGACCATCTGACCGTAAGAAACTAAGTCATCTTTGCGGCATTAGGTAAACGTTTAGTTATCAACCACGGTTACAACATCCTACAGTGCTTATTCGTCGTATAATACTCAGTCACGTGGTATAATTATACACTACTCGAGGAGTAAATAATCAGATAACTATAGGCCTTAACGACACTGGTGACAGGTGAAAGTACTTCTCATGTATGTATTACTGGTTGGTTTACAAACTACCTTAACTGCTAAACCATCAGTCTTTCCTCCAGTACTGAGGAGCCACGGGTCTGTTATATATGATACATAAGTCACCATCTGTTGTGTCGAACTTTGATGTCTCGAATGTACAGCTGTATCGAAGTAAAAACTTGATCCTTGCGTATTCCTTATTTACATTAGTCATGATTTTGTGTTTATGTCGAACTTCGGTTGTTCGAAGTGTTTGCATGGGTTCCTCCAGCTTCGAGACAACAGTGCTGGACAGTATTTATGGTTATGAGCATATCTACATTGTTAAAAAAACCCGGGGCAGTTGGGTAGCCTAGTGGTTAAAGTGTTCGCTCGTCACGCTGAAGACCCGGGTTCGTTTCCCCACATGGGTACAATGTGTGAAGCCCATTTGTGGTGTTCCCTCGGCGTGATATTGCTGGAATATTGCTAAAAGCGACGTAAAACTAAACTCACTCACTCACTAAAAAGACCCACCTACATATACGTGAATGTATGTACGTAATAATACACTCATGGAAAATAATAAAGGAACACACGAAAGTGCAAGTGTTCCTATACTCTTCTCCGAGTTTCTTGTCAAGATTTATATTGCACTGTGGGGGAATATCTGGAAATAAATAAAGGAACACATGTACTTTCATGTTTTCCCTTATTTGTTTGCATGAGTTTATTTCTGTTTTCACTTCTATTAAACCCAATGGATCGGACACTCGAGAAATGGCAGTCGTCTTCAGTCATATTTCGGTCCATCGGAATGGACCAACACCTTAGATGTATGTACCCATCCTGAATACAAACAAACCATCACCCTAACCCCAGGGACCGCCTCCATGGTGTAGTGGTTAGAGCGTCCGCCTGAACAGCGGAAGGTCGCGGGTTCGATCCCCGACCGCGTCATACCAAAAGCCGTTGAAATATGGTACTTGTTGGTCCCTGCCTGGCGCTCGGCATTAATGGGTACAACAAGGACTGGTCGGCTCGGAGTCAGTATAATGTGTCTGAGTGGGGTATTCATGCTTCACTGCGGCATGGTATCTCAGTGGGCTAGCACTATAAATCCAGCTTAAGTCTGGGCTAGTACAAGCAGCCACACATACACACGCATGCACGTCGTCATATGAGCGAAATATTCTCATGAGCGTTAAACCCAATTTCACCTCACCTCACCTAACCCAAGGCTGTCCCTGTTTATCATGAGAAGTATGTTTTCTAATAATAGCATTCCTAAGAGTAACGAGATTGCGCTTATATATGCAGCATCTAAATACATCTTTACATGAATCGTATCTCCCAAGCATCTCCTGTTACAACGTGGAAGAATAAAGGTCAAAGTTATTATGGACAATAAACAGGCAGAGACGATTGTGCAAACCCGTTCTCGCTTCGCTGCACCTGTGATGAAGTCTGTCGCCATTTGCTGCAGCCATGTGCCCCAGTAGGGAGTCATTTCTAAGGCGATGTCGCTATGTATTAGAAAACCTGATCTAGGTCAGAAAAGCTTGTAAGAAGCGTGGACGGCAGTTTGTATACCACGACGCTGTCTACATATTGTATTGATGCTAATACCTGAGCGATGAATGCTATGACGCTGCACAAAACGTGGAATCGAACCCTTGTTGTCGATAAAAACTGTAGTTTTAAGTTCTAATATCTAAATAGTTTTGTAACAGTGAATATATGTCCACATGCATTGATGTTATACAATGCAACGTCTATTTCAACAACAAATTTGTTGTTAAATGAGTTTTATCATTTATGTCATGCTGTTTGAGGTTGGGGCGGCGGGGTAGTCTAGTGGTTAAAGCGTTCGCTCGTCACGCCGAAGGTCTGGGTTCGATTCATTCATTCACTCACCGTTTGAGGTGGGTGGATCAGGACAATATATCACTCGCGTAATTTTTAAAATCATCATGCCCACTGATTACATTAAATGTTTCAAATGTTCTACAGTTTGATGTGATCATATCTATATGACACAAGCAGGTAACCTCTGTAATATTCCAGCTGCAATATGACGGAACTCTGGGTAAATCCAAACAAGTGATTGATAATATGATAAGACGAATCATCCAAGTAACCAAGCCTGCACACCTGATCAATCAAACCCCAAGGTACAGTGAGTGGGCGAGTTTAATTTTACGCCGCCTTTAGCAATATTACAGCAATATCACGGCGGGGGACCCCAGAAATGGGATTCACACATTGTACCCATGTGGGCAATCGAACCCGGGTTTTCTGAGTGACGAGCAAACGTTTTAACAACTAGGCCACCCCACCGCTCCGCGAGGTATAGCCACGAGCATATGGTACAGGAGATTTGTTCTAACCGGTAGTCACCATGGGGTTCCCCGTGTTATAACTCAAACGTAACGAACTAGATATATAACACGATGTAGCGTTAAGATTCGGCACTATTGCCCAACACTGCAACTCCCCTTGTCTCGAGTAAATCAGCCGACACCTTATTTCGAGCTAGGGATAATTCAATCTATTTTCAACAACACTTTGAATGAACGAGGGCTCCGTTCGAATAACATATCCGAGATTTCTCTTCAAATCTAAAGGCCTGGCAGAAAAACAGATGATAAAGAAAGGGCAACACGTTGTTAGTGTAAGTAAGGATATGAGTGAGTGAGTGAGTGAGTGAGGTCGAGTTAACATCCTTTCTTCCTGTTACATCACGGCGTGGCAGAGTAATGTAGGAGAGACGCTCAAAGTGATTTAGATCTCAGACGT